GGTAAAATGTCCACAGTAAACACCGACTCCTACAGTGGAGACTATGAGAACTGACAACATGCTACTGTCAGCTCACATCACAGGAAAAACCACTTTTCCCCAAGTGGTCTCATTAAATCAATGTATAAAAACACCTGCATTAGCAGAAAACCAGTGCTTGACACTACAGGACAGGCCTAGATCTTACTCATATTTTCTTCCTCCTCTACATCCATGGCCAAGTGCTTCTGAGGGGTTCTTGACAGGCGGAGACTGTTTCTGTCTGAAAGACAGCAAGAAAACAGCATTCAGTGTGCCGCCGATAAGTCTATTCCAGGGAGACGATTATGACATCCTTACAAAGAAATGAACACATCTCAGAGCAAGACGCTAGGTCTGCCACCTAGTTCTCGTGCCTCCACAATGTCCCCTTAGCACATCCCAGTACTGAAGGACACAAACCATGCCCCTCTACATGGCAGGATGACGGGGGTGGGGGTTATGACAATGGAGGCCTGGGAGTCCCTGGTGCTCTGAGGAGGGTGGGCTTGATTCCAGGGAATGCAGGGCCACTGCGAGGTCTGAACCAGGGACAAAGGCAGTAACGTTTACATCTCAGGAAGACCTTCCCCACAGGACAACCTGTAGACACACTACATCACAACAGGTATGCTGGGACTCGAAGGGAATCCAATCCATTCACCATCCGATCTTTGCTCTGGGCAGGGGTTTGGTCTGGATTCTAAAGTAAAGCAAGATCCAATAGCCAGAGAGCTTTATTTAACTATTTCTCTTTCACTTTGGCTGGTAGCTCACAGAGTCAGAACTAAAAAGCATGTAACTGTCAGTGTTTGATCTAATTTTTTAGCCATGTATATTTACTATTTTGTTGGCAGTTGAGACCATGGGAAACCTTCAAGGAACAATTCCAATTATCTAATTATTAACCAATTTAGAAGTTTTCTCTTAGATATACCTTGCATGACTGTATTAATATATTATCTATAATGAACAATCCCATTCAAACTGCAACTGAGAAAAAAGAATTGCAAATTTTGTAACCACATGTTGCTTTGTAGCCAAATAAAATTTCTATTACATACATGGGACCTACAAGTGGTGTGGTGGTTAAGGGTGATGGATTCCCACGTGGCTGACAGTGACTCAAGTCCTGACCTAGCGGCTTGCCTTCTCACTTTCTCTCTCTCACTCTGTCTCTCTCTGGTCAAATTAAAATAAGTATATTAATAAATAAATTAAGTTAAAGAAAATATTTTTTAAAAATTCCTACTACACTGAGAGGCAGATCCATTGCTTTTAGGAAAATGGTGACTAATACGTCCTAAGGCAAATCTATGGCATATATTGGGCTGTCAGAAAAGTCACAACATGTTTTTCCTATGCAAAAATGTACCATGACTTTTCCAATGACCCAATATACTGCATATGTTCAATAGTTTTCATGACAATCATTTGTTACTAACTTTTAATCTCACTCTATTTCCAGCAAATTTGGAAGTTTGATGCGTATTTAGAGTCCTTTGTTCAAGATGGTTTTCCAGGGAACCAGCAGTTAGCGTAATGGCTATGTCGCTGGACTCCCATGTAGTCGACCGCGGTTCGTGTCCCGGACCCGGTGGCTTAAAACTCACGCCGGGCGCGTGTGCGTGCGTGCCCAAGATCCCGAGAGGAGAATGGAGGAGAAGGGATTGCGGCGTGACCATCCCCCCTGGGGGGTGATTTCTCGCTTTCTGTCTCTATGTCTCTCTCTGTCTGTCTGGCGAGCGCACGCGCCCTACAGTGAAAATCTCTCCAAAAAAAAAAAAAAAAAGATGGTTTTCCAGACAGCATTATTGTATCCAATGATTACTTCAAGATGTATTTTTCTGAGACTGTGTTATGTGCAAAGCACAGTGCTGGATACTATGGGAACCTACAATGAATCAGATTCTACAATAGAGAAATATAAACATAAATGTTATCTGGAGAGCTGATTATATTAAGGAATGGTTGCTAATTACTTTAGGTATGGAAATGGTAGTTTTCTTTTTGCAATACATACTGAAGCATTTGCAGAAGAAATAATAATTCTGATATATATATATAACATATATATATAACACATATATAACATGATACACACACACACACATATAATAGTAATAAATAGTAATTTACTTCAAAATAATCCCTGTTGTGGGAAGAAATTTGGGTGGGGTGTAGAAAAACCATGGACAGGCCCCACTGGCCATTGCTAAGGCTGGCTGCTGGGTCGGGGGGGCTCATTATATAAGTCTGCATTCATGAATGTTGTACTGGTCCCATTATGAAGAGTCTTCATAAGAAGTGACAGTGGTGAGGCCCAAGACAGAACTCAGATGCAGGTACACGCTGTGAGACTGCCACATGGAGGGCCAGTGGGGCTGTGCTTCCAGTATCCAGGCTGAGAGGTCAGGGCAGAAAGATAGGAATACGATCATCAAACTGAGCCTTGGGCAAGCCAGGCACACTGCGAAGATGGGACCAGGCAGCAAAAGAAGGCACAGAGGGGACCAGCAGTTAGCGTAATGGCTATGTTGCTGGACTCCCATGTAGTCGACCACGGTTCGAGTCCTGGACCTGGTGGCTTAAAATCACACCGGCGTGTGTGTGTGTGCATGCCCAAGATCCTGAGAGGAGAATGGAGGAGAAGGGATTGCGGCATGGTCATTCCCCCTAGGGGTGATTTCTTGCTTTCTGCCTCTCTCTCTGTCTCGGTCTTTCTGGTGCGCGCACACGCCCTATAGCAAAAACCTCTCCAAAAAAAAAAAAGAAAAAAAAACAAAGAC